CTAGCTCGAGTAGCACCAGCAGCCTGGAACCGAGGAACGCTGATGCGATGCTCAGAGCTCCTCTCTCAGGCACACACAAACAGCACGGTATTGCTCGGTTCTGCTCAGAGAGGACAATCAACTCATTCAGAGGACTTGCACAACAAATTGTTCCCCACACAGGGCAGCTATCAGGCATTCAATGCCTTTTCATCCTAGAGGAGAAAAAAGTATTTTGGCAGATAAATACTTTTTAAGCAATCACGTTGGAATTCAAAGCACATTCTTCAGCATCGGCAATATTTTGAAGCGGTGAAAGGTTTGAGAAGATCTATTTACAAACAAAAAGATTAAAGCTCCTTCTGTCCAGGATGGGGTGGGGGGTGGGAACCAATGAAAGGATCAAATGGGACACAGCCTAGTGAACGCAAGCTTGCTTCAAAACAGGCTTGCCTTGACAGCAGTTTATTAAGGAGAAACAAAGCTACCTGTTTTTTCCAGATTTCAGAGATGAATCCTAAATCCAGATCTCACACTCTAGAATCTGAAGATCCATCACCTTGATGAACCTCAACATACCTTCCCAAAGGCCTGCTAGATTCTGCTGGAAAGCTTAAGATTTGCCATAGGAAAAGGGAAAAACAACCAACCCCACAATCAAATCAAGACACATGCTATGAAGCGAAGGAGATTTTCTACTTGGGTTTCTGACAAGGATATTTCCTATGTCTGCTGCAATCCCTAACATACTGAACTACTTCTTAGCTCTTAAGAGATCGGAGTCTGCTTTAAGTTCATTTACAGTTCATCTGGCAGCTTCATCAGCCTGCTCCTCTGGCAAGTGTTCTTAGTCTTTGCACCCACAGCAGAAAAAAAAAATAAAGCTTGCTACGATAAGGCTTTTGGTTTTTTAAATAAAAAAAAAATAATTAAAGCAAAAGGGATGTAGAGAGGGTACTATGAAAATTCCATTAAATCTACATTCTGTGACTTCATTTTTTTGACTCAAAGTAAACGTTTTAGTATCTTATTAGCTATTTGTTGGAAGACTGTGGTCTCAAATCGGTTAACGAAGAAAAGCAATGGACCTTCTTGCATGCAGCATTTCCACATGAGTAGGTAAAGTTGCTGCATCTTCAATCTCTGTTCAAGTTAATTCTGAACGGGGGAGAGGGGCACAGCATTGTCATCTCTGTCTTCCTACCAAGAATATCCAAGCTCCATAATCTAAAATGTTAAGTACCTCCTTACACAATCAACCACTTCCTAGACTTTACGCATGTATATTTTAAGAACACTGAGGTTAAGTCCAGTTTTCAGATACTATCCAAGAAGTGTAGCACTTGAATTTTTCTCTACTTGACCGGGAAGCTCTGCCTCTTGCAGAGAGGAGGAGGAGGGAGGACTGCTGGAGCAATAAGAAAGCAGAGCACATTCACGAGTGTGTGTGACCTACCTGACACAAATTGGTCTTGACACTGCCCAGCGGGGCTACAAATTGTTAAACACTTGTTAATCATCACTGTCCATCAAGCCCCTGCACTCATCTAGCTGTAGGCTTTCACTGTGCAACTCCTCAGAGCACAGTAGGGGAGGAAGAGTGGGCACAAACCGCTATCTGTAGCAACACCATATGGGAAAGGCCTAAAAATATTCTTTTAATATATGTATTAAAACGGAAGAAGATTATTATTACAGGGATGGCTGGCTTGCAGGTGGGGTTGGACAATCTTTATATACCACATGTACGAATTGACTAGTTATTTTTAAACCTATCTGAAGTCTTAATATGTCTGTCCTGGAATAGCTCATTAACTCACCTTCAGGTTTGCTGGCCTTAGTGGCATATCATGTACTCAGAACAACAGCTTTTTCCACAGCTGGCTGGGACACATACATTACAAGCATACAGGAATTTATCTAACTTTTCACAGCATAAGAAAAAAAACAAAAACAGATATGATGAAAACTTGCAGTAGAGTTGTTTCAGTAAACATACTGAAGTGAGAAGCCATATTAAACATGTATATAACTAAGATAAACTATCAAAAAAAGTATTTCTCCTAGCAGAGAAGATGCAAAGGAGTCTGGATTTAATTGAATGAATCTTAGTAACAGTTTTTAATCCCACCACTTTGCACAGCACTTCCTTTTTTGCTGCTTTGATCACTAACATATTGTTAGAACAGGCCGTTCGTCCCCTCCCTTAGAACCACCACACTGGTCACAGTAGTTGCCAGAGAATATATACTTTATTTCATTTCTGGTTTTATCCATTACAAATTGTACTATACTGAACTTTCCTACAAAAATTATCACACCACTCAGAGACTTACCAGTCTTAATAGTTAGCAACAGATAAGAGTGTGAAAACATTACACAGATCACGTTAAAACAAGTTTGCATAAAGAATTTTCAATCTCTCCTCTTCATAAATGTAATAATGTTGGAACTTTAAATTTATTTAGCCTACAATGATTTGCTCTGGAAATTTTTCACAGGGACATGAACCGAAACATTAGTGGTGTTCACTGTGCAATGCAGCACTATCTCTTTACCCTTGTATTTTGTTGCTGTGGAAGCAACGTGAAGGTACTTAAAATACCTTAAGGATATAAAAAGGCACCAAGAGGGATCATCAAATCCAAGCAGCCATTTAAAGAAGGAAATAGGACACATATCCAAATGAACAATTTGAAATATTCCACTTAACACCTAATTATCTGCTAGAATAAATACACATGCTACTCTAGCCTTGTGACCTGATTTCCTATACGAAATATGAGGAGGAAAACCATGAAGCAGAAATATAGTTAACAAACACAATAACATATACTAATTTCATGGGTTTCTTTTGTTTCAGCAGTGTTATCCAAGTCCAATTTAGCAATTTGCCTTGCTTTTGAAACTGCAACTAATAACCTACAGTCGAATGTAACTGTTAACCTCTGAGGTACACCCTGTAGAAGGAGCTGGAACTCTGGGCACTGGCTTGATTTTCACTTATAACAAAGTTCATCAGATCACTCAGCAATGAATTAGCAACACTTGATTGTCATAATTTTTTTTTGTTCTACTAACATAAATGGAATACACAAGCCGTGCTCATGACAGATGTTTCCCAATGACATTAATACTACATACAGTATCAAATGACCATCTATCCTGGGTCAATGCATCAAATTTTAGGTATAACTCAAACTCATTTGTTGAACAGCTATGTAGAGTAACAGTCACAAAATACTTTTTATTGAAATACTGTTAAAAACTTCCTGGTCAATGTCTCCCTTAATTTTCAATGGCGATTGAAAGAGATTTTACAACATCCTCTGGCTAGGAAAAGAAGTCTGAAGCAGTTAACTAAATTACTGGGTTGCACCCTCTCCTTTCTTTTTAGCTGAGTAACATTCACTGCTGCTTCTTCGGATCCCAGCAGCAAGAGAACAGCACACATGCATATGATAACCCACCAAGGAGAGGTCAGAAGCCACAAGATGGAGGGGGAAACCTCAGGCCATGCGTGTAACCACCAAGGGGTGCATCCTGCTTGCTCTCCTGTAGATGCTAGGAGGCACCAATGAAAGGTGGTGTTCTACAACGCAATTCCTGAGGCTTTGACTAAGCTGAAGGTGGGAAGTCCACCTCCCAGGACAGCCTTTCGAGCCTAGTGCTGTCAAGGATGCTAGCGGGGACAATGTCAGGCTGGACAAAACCAGCATTTTAGTTCCAACCACTTTTCCTTTTCTCTCACTGGTCTACGAAGGGGTTCACAACTGTGGGGCAGGACAGTCTTGCCCTCCATGCCTTTTTCCAGTCCTCCCTGTCCAACCCTGTGACACGGCTTGAGAGTCACTCCTATAAGCTATCAGTTCCTGTTTACGGTCATTGAGGAAGACCCCTTTTTTGCCACCCACAGGGTTTAGTTCTGGTCCTCCCACACTGAAGGACTGTGCTAGCATCACTGATCCTCCCCTGGCAGAAGGATTCCAGCAACAGATAAAAGCTTAAGCATAATACTGTCACGTGCTTCATTTTGAGCCTAATATAGCAATAAAAGGAAAAATTCTGGACTTCACTGCTCTTTCACAGCTTCATAAAGGTGGTTGAGGTTAAGTTACTGTATGACAGTAGTTACCCTTGCTTTCACAAAAATTATAGAAAAGCAGCAACAGGAACCCAGTAAAAACCTCATCCAAGTACAGGGAGTGAAAAGAAAGAAAAGTAGCAGAAGAAACCAAATGTTCCCTGCTCTCTGCAACCACAGACAGCAAAGATTGGGGTCCAATGCCCTGTGTCAAGCTCCACATGCACACACAGGGAAACACAGATTGTGAAGGGAATTACTGAAAATGGCTTAGTATCCAGTGAAATGATTCTGATAGAAATTGGTAGCAATAACTGCCATGAAGGAGGAAGGATACTATGTCAGATTTTCTCTTCGCTGAATGAAAAGAAAAAACTTATCCATTAAGGAAATGTGATCAGTACTTAGTTCTTGGCAGATATTACGCTGACTGGCCAGCAACCACAGTACAGAAATGAAAATTATAAAATAATTTTTAAAAAGTCACAGTCAATATTTGATTCCTGAAATCAGACAAATTATTTCAAGTGTCATCAAAATCAAAAAGAAGAACTTCTTCATTTCGCAGATGTTCACAGATCAAATAAAATGACAGTAAAACAGCAGAACATATTTTAAATGGAGGTATTACAGGAACTTTTCCTTTTTGCAATTCAAATATCCTGGTTAATTTAAAGAATTTTCCACATATCTTTCCTTTAACAATCTACAGGGAACAGTTGAGGGAAAATACGATTGGACTAGACTTGGGGCTGAGATTTTTTTCAAGTAGCATAAGAGAAGGCCTCTCAATTCTTAACTCCAATTAAAGAAACAATTGAGCTTATTTATGAAAAAAAGGCCTCAGTAAGGCAACATCATACCACCACAAGACTCCCCAGATAAAAAAAAAAAAATGTAGTGCAGGCTATATATTTAACAAAATCCACAGCCTTACCTGTCAATAACAAGTCGTCTTTGACTTGTATTCCATGAAGCAATTTGATCAAATGGACAGATGTAGAGATGAGATCCAAGTTCCTATTATAACATGGAGAAAAAAAAAAACAAACCCACTTGATACAAAATACACTCAAATAAAGTGAAAAGGCTTTTCACTGAAGTTAACAGCAAGTTTTTCATATTTTCAGAAACTCTGAAATAAAAAGAAATTTATCCTACTTAACCGTGCCTGACTATCAGAAGCCACACTACTACCACCAGAAGCAAAAGGAACAGGTCTACTTAAGCATTAGCCTGCATATTACCAATTTTGGACACAGTACCTTCAGAGCTAAATATCCTTTCCTCTCTTTTTGGTATCCTTCTAAATTACATCCTAAAAAATAGCAGGTTATTCTTGCAATTTAAACAGCTTTATTTGTGTAAAAACTCTGCTTTGTTTGAAGTTCAAGCATTCAGGGAAAGTGTCAATGTATGTTACTTAGTAGTAAACTTTGAAGCTTTTAAATACCAACAAAGTGATTTGTCAGGGCCATCAAACGAACAACAGAGCCAGTTCAAAGGGAAACATACAAAAGGGAAGCTCAAGCAACCATTTATCTGTTCTTCAGTGAGAAGGAATCCTAGGTAGAATCTCAGAATGGTTTGGGTTGGAAAGGACCTTCAAATATCGCCTAGTCCAATAGCCATGCCATGGGCAAGGACATCTTCCACTAGACCAGGTAGCTGAAAGTCCCATCCAGCTTGACCTTGAACACTTCCAGACACAGAAAAACACGGTGATAGCAAAGATAACCAGTGAAGTGAAGCCATTTGGAATCAAACACCAAAATAATTCCACAGCCAAAGATCAGCAATCCTGGAGGTAGACAACATATATACCAGGATGTGCATGCAACAGGAATAAAAAACGGAAATCAAAGAATACAGTATAAACAGATTAAGTTTTCAGCTTTTAACTTGTTTGTCCTTTGGTAGTCAAGCTTTTTGAGAAGAGATTGGCCAAGATATACAAGAGTGGCTGAAACTTCAGAACACGGCAACACCATCTCTATCAAACCTCCACATCTATTCATGAGTTACTTGAAAAACATCATATCATCACATATGAATGCTGAATAACTGTATTCTGCAGTTGTTTGCTATACAAACATATGTTCTTCTTCATTAAGTTCTAACACAGAAGAGAAGCCAAAGACACATTTATAAATACGTAATACACACATGCACACTGGTATACACACACTCTATTAAAACCAAAACATTTCACGTTCATTCAGGGCTCAAATTTCTTCACAGCACACAAAGAAGAAAAACTGGCCCTGTAAGGAACAAAGCTTCATATTCCCCTATAGTTTCAAAGCTGTTACACAACCCATGTGTTAACAATCTTTGCATTCTTTCCTAGAAACAACCAGTCTTGATTTTGATCAAACAATTTGTAGTATCGGAGGGTATTTTGGAATATCCAAACATTGCGCACTTGAAACCAGTATCAAAGACACATTCCAACTTTCATTCACAACTCTTGATCGCTCAGGACACTGAAATCCTAAAGATGTTATGCATTTGCAACTGTTTAAAATCAACACAAACATATGGCTCATATACAGCTGGCTCAAAGCAGCCAGCATGGTATTAAAAGGACAATAAATTGTTACACTGCTACAAAGCCAGAACACCATCTAATGAGTGACCCACCGAGTCCTTCCCTGTTACAGACATGGTCAGAACGTTCCATGCACACAGGCCTTCCCTCTCCTGCAGTCTAAAGGACAGGACAGTTATCAGCACCCAGCTTCCTAAACGAGCAAGGCTATGCTAACTGCCTAATGAGGGCAAGTATGCAGCACAGGTATAACCAGTGCAGAGCACATCTTTGTTAAGCAGCAGGCTGGGTATCTGAATTCCATTAGAAAGCAAAAATTAAGTTTTCGCTTTCTAATGGAATTCAGATATCCATAACCAGGTTGTATTTGTCATGCTACTGTAAAGGGCAATCCTACCACCCATCAGCCATGCGACTCTGTTCCCCGTTTCGTTAACATACTCATGTATGTAGTACAATAAGTTACAATAATTATGGAGCTACAATAAGTTACAACCAGGAACCCAGACTGGCACTGCCAAGAACTAAAACGTAAGAGCCTGAACTTAGATTCACGTTATTCTAAAACTAATGCCTTCTAAGTCCTGCAACTTTTGTGGCATTAACAAAATTCTGCACCAGCACACATGTAAGCTCAACATGAGCTGGCAATGTGCACTGGCAGCCCAGAAAGCCAACCACATCCTGGGCTGCATCAAAAGGAGCGTGGCCAGCACGTCGAGGGAGGTGATTCTGCCCCTCTACTCTGCTCTCATGAGACCCCACGTGGAATACTGCCCTCAGCTCTGGAGTCCCCAGCACAAGAAGGACATGGAGCTGCTGGAAAAGGTCCAGAGGAGGGCCACAAAGATGATCCGAGGGCTGGAGCACCTCTGCTATGAAGACAGGCTGAGAGATCGGGCTGTTCAGCCTGGAGAAGAGAAGGCTCCAGGGTGATCTTATTGCAGCCTTCCAGTACCTAAAGGGGGCCTACAGGAAAGCTGGAGAGGGACTTTTTACAAGGGTGTGTAGTGATAGGACAAGGGGCAATGGCTTTAAACTGAAAGAGGGCAGATTTAGATTGGATATAAGAAAGAAATTTTTCACTCAGAGGGTGGTGAGGCACTGGAACAGGTTGCCCAGAAAAGCTGTAGATGCCCCATTCCTGGAATTGTTCAAGGCCAGGTTGGACGAGGCTTTTGAGAAACCTGATCTAGTGGAAGGTGTCCCTGCCCATGGCAGGGGCGTTGGAACTAGATGATCTTTGAGGTCTCTTCCAACCGTAACCATTCTATGATTCTATGTTGTGACTCTGCCCCATGTCAAAATTACATTTAGTTAAATGTATCTTGGATACAAAGGAGATTTGGGAACATCTCAAAAGAAAAAGGGATGTCTACAAGTCTTGGAAGAATGGGCAGGCATCCAGGAATCAATACAGGGAGGAAGTTAGGGCATGTAGGGAGATAATCAGGGAGGCAAAAGCCCAATTGGAACTTAGACTAGCCAGCTCTGTAAGGGACAACAAAAAGTCTTTCTATAAATATATTAATAACAAAAGGAGGGCTAAAGATCACCTCCAGCCCCTACTGGACTCAGGGGGTACGTTAGTCACTAGGGATGAAGACAAGGCTGAGGTCCTTAATGCCTTCTTTGCCTCAGTCTTTAATACTAAGGTCAGCAGTTCCCAGGTGAGCTGGCCTTCGGTGTCTGAGTGCAGGGAGGGAGAGCAGATCGAAGCTCCTGTGATCCAAGAGGAACGGGTCAAGGATCTGCTCCTTCGGCTGGATGCCCACAAGTCTATGGGGCCTGAAATGGTATCCACCGGAGAGAGCTGGCAGATGTCATTGCCAAACCCCTGTCCATAATCTTTGGGCAGTCTTGGCTCACTGGGGAAGTTCAGCTGGACTGGAGGCTGG